TTCAAACCCCTAAAAAAAAAAAAAAAAAAATTAAAAAATAAAATAAAAACAATTGAATCAAAAGCAGATTGATGGCCTTGGCCTTCCAAGGTAGGTAGGATGTGAATTCCTAGTCACCTCAAGGTTGGCACCCATGTGCTGGGTGTTTTCTGGGTGTGTCATATACCATGGTAGGGTCTGAAGGAGGCTAAGATGAGGGAGACACAGCCTCTGCTGTCCTCATTGTCTCTGGAAGTGGTGGTGGTAGGGATTGCAGTGAACCATCATAGAGACTGGACTTTGCTTGACACTATGCCAGGAGCTTAGGCAAGTAGGCTCATCTAATTGAGTGGACTTAGAGGTGAATAGAGCATGGGAGGGACAGGGACACTTCATGAGGGGTCAGCATTTGAAGTTAAGGCTGAAGGACATGCAGGAAGTCGGGGGACAGGAAGTTAGAGCAGGCATAGGTCTAGGGACAGGAGAGTTCTACTCCAGGGGAATGCTATGTGTTTGACTGGAACATGGCACATAGAGTAGAACAGTGGAAAAGAATCGAGAACATTAGGTCATTTCCGTCTTGTGGAGAGCTGGCTGCCAGGCTGATTTTTCTGTACAGTGTAATGTTGATGCATGTAGGCTGAAGCCAGACTTACAGGGTTAAATTCCCATAGAACTGGCATCACTAGTTGGATGAGTTTAAGAAAGTTCCTAGAATTTTCTGCGCCTTATGTTTTCAGCTCTTAAGTAAGAGGGTGGTCTACCTGAGAGGTGGTGGTGAGTGGTAAGTGAACTGGCTGCAGGTCAAGAGTTGCTTTTGTTTGGCCTTTTATAGTGCATTATGGAAAGGATCGAATCAGGTGGGCAGCAAGTGAAAAACTGTGGATTTGTATATCATTTTGTGTATTTTCTGCTTGGATAACATAATCCCTTCTTGAGGGAATTAGTCCAATTTTTTCTCCAAAAGGGCAAAGCTTACTATAGCCTTTGAGCTCTGTAAGCACCACATAAATTTTTATCTGGTTCTGATTACATTAATTTCACATTTGTAATGCTTTTCGTCCTCTACCTGTCCATCCTCAGTCAACGCCTTTCATGTTCTGTTCCCAAGGTGCAGAATCAAATAGTCCTGCAGCAGTGACTGGACTGTGATTTCTTTCCTCTGGCCCTTTTCTTTGTGTAGTTTCTTACTACATAGTGACCTCTGCTGGGGTTTTAGTTTCATTCTCAAGAAACAGTGCATGAGGTTAGGACAGCCCCAGCTGTCACCCAAGCACCTAGTTGAAAGTTAAAAGTTGCACCTGGAAAAATGAGCCAGAGAAAACACGTGAGCCGTGTGAGAGAGGAGCTCCAAGAGGAGTGTCGTCCAGACTGGTTCCTGGCGTCCCTGGCTCTCGGCATCTGCTCCTCTGTCTCTGTTTCTTTCTTGTTGGCACACGAGAGGACATTCATTCTGGCTGTGATCTTCCTTCTAGGAAAATGTGCTGAAAGTGACAAATCCAGGACAGATCCAGAAATGCCACTTCAGAGTTGAGCACCATATTTTCACAAAGATGACACAAGAAGATGGATTCTTCCATTGCTTTGCCCAAGCTTTTTTGTTTGAATTTCCTTATTATATCCATTATAGTTTTTAAGTCCTGTAGAAGCTTTTGGTTTCTGTTTTAAAAGTGCATGGAATTAAAAGTAAAATCATCCATTAGTAATAAGTATAATATATAAGGAGTGGTATAAAGTAATCTGGTAACATTAAATCTATATGTAATATTTTCTGGTGGTTATATGACTCCTTTTGTTTATAAAAGTTGTATTGCTAATTAGTAAACTTGAATAATATTTATAATAATAATGTCCCATTTATAGGTGCTCAGGCTTAGTAGTGTTGATGTCTTGTGCTAGATCACACTTGACTGGATAAGTGGTACAGTCTGTGACATTTTTATTCTAAATCCTAAAATCTGGTTTACTGCCATGCTAATAATGCAAGAAACTAGCTAGAGGAAAAACACGCTGAGTCACTTAATAAATGTTAGTTATATTTGTTATAGAGGAGAACATATATTAGCTTGAAGTCATCAAATGGTTGTGATGGTGAAATTTAGGGGACTATTTTAGGAAAGACTCCTGAAGGTGGTTTGTTTTGGGAGATTTCCTAACAGTGTCTCCATGTGAGATAGTTGAAGGATGGAACAAATATTTCACCTGGACTGAGAGTTTTTAAAAGAAGGAATAAGGGAGAAATTGTGCATGGGTTAAGTTAAGTGCAGTTCAGGGTTAGGATGTACAATGATTTCAGTGGCCATGAGTGAGAATTCACTGGGAGGTTGGATTGTATCTTAGCTGCAAATTTCACAGTGTTTTCTCACCACAATCCTAGACTAGTGGGGGCCAAGGGTCCCATCCATTGTTGCAGTGTTTTGAGTTAAGTGCAAAATGGCACAGTGGGAAGAAGGCAGGAGAAGGAGCCAGCTCCCTTCACTTACCTGCTCCAGCTCGATCTGTGTGGGATGAGTGGGGAAACTCAGGCTGCTCTGACCGCAGGGTTGCAAGAGGTCAGTGATGCATGGGGTGGGGAATGGCTTTCAGGAACTACTCCGTAAATGCAAGACACAGCTTTTCAGTAGTTTCCTTCATTTGTTTCATCCAACCTGTCTGCATTTTCTTCTGGTATCTAAAAACAGGTTGACGAACTCCTGCATCTATATGGGTCAGCAGTAGATGGCGCTACCAGAGACAACACCTGGGAAATCCAGACTTACATTCACTTTCAGGATAATCAAGGTGTTACTGTCACAGTGAAGCCAGAACACAGAGTGGAAGATATTTTAACTTTGGCATGCAGGGTAATTTATTTATTATATATTTCTGAATAGAAATAGCATTGCACTGCGATACCTTCCCATTTTGTCATGTACAAGACCTCAGAAGATTTTGTACCACCAGGTGGCATAGTAGAGCTTAAATATTTAAATTTCCAGAGAAAAAGTGCACTTTTTCATAAGTAATATGAAAAAGTATGTCCTTTGGTAATGCTTAACCATGTCCACTTAATAGATGTGGATAGTTTCATTTTAGGCCTCCTTATTACTTGGACTTGAAGCCTTAGCATAATATACATTTATGTATGTAGCCTGTTTCCTCACGAACTTCATTACCTTTTGCTCCACTATGTATTGGCTTTTATTCAGAAAAGCAACAGTATTAATCAGTATCATTCAGTATCAATAATAGACACTCTTATACTGATAAATTTTCTAAGTATTAAAAGATGTCAGAAGTTGTGGGTTGATGAATTCCCACTGGAACATAGCCCTGAGATAAAGTTCTCACTGTTAAAATTGTGATGAGAAAAAGGGTGAGAGAGAAAAAAAGAGGGCATTGCAAAATTTTGGAATAGGAAGTTTCTAATTCTGAAGTCTTTAGGACCTGAGTTTGTTCACATTTTATACATTTCTTATGTTATTAATGGAAAGCAACTAAGTAAGACACAACCCATACATAAAGAGATGTAATTTGCTGAAATGATGAGGTATATTCTACTGTCCAATATGTTCTACCCTGATTTCCTATAAATACATCTCTTGTCATTAGTGATAGTACTTAGAGAAAACTTTCTTAAAGATAATTATCTTTGATTAATTTAATGAATTAATTTTATTGGTACATTTACGGGAATACAATATAATGACATTCATCATTGGAAATTTGCACCTTTACATAATCCGTCTTGGTTCTTATTTTTTTTCCATTTCCCTGCCTCCCTTCAACCCCTCCATCCCTCCCTATCTACAGACTTTGTTTCCATTTTTTCTTTTTCTCATATTAATTCCCCTCTGTCTGTCCCTCCCTTCTTGTACATTTGAATTTGAGCTTTTCTTTAAAGTCAGCGAATATGTTCAGTCTTCTTTTAGAAGAATCTACTTTTAATGAGCCTGTTAAACAAATGATGAGTTTAGAAAGAACACTTAGAATCTGGATGATTTTCTTTATAGATGAGGCAATTGGAACCCAGTCACTATGGCCTTCAGCTTCGGAAATCAGTTGGTGAAAGTACTGAGTGCTGTATTCCTGCACCGAATGAATATGTACAAGAGCAGGCAAGTGTGCATTAGCTTTACTTATTTATTTATTTAGTAGTTAGTTTGTTTGTTTTTTGAGACAGAGTCTCACTGTGTAGCAAGGCTGGCCTGGAACTCACAGCGATCCTCCTGCCTCAGTCTCCTCAGTGCTGGGATTACAGGCAAGCGCCACTATGCCCAGCTAGTTTGGAAACAGTTTTCATCTAAAGTGACTCTCAACAGTTTTCTTATTTTGTTATGAAAAAGTGTCAAAATAATTTTATAAGTTACCATAATATCAAATTTTCAGGGCTGGGGATTTAGCTCAGTGGTGTTGCCACCTGCCTCACAAGTGCAAGGTCCTAAATTCAATCCCCAGTACCAAAAAAAGAAAAAGAAAAGAAATATCAGATTCTTTGTTTTTACCTTTTGTAGGTTTATGATGAAATAGAAATCTTTCCACTAAATATTTATGACGTGCAGCTCACGAAGACTGGGAACATCTCTGACTTTGGTAAGTGTAAGGATCACCATCAGAAAACCATCTGAGTCATCTTTGCCTATTTCACCGTGGTATCTTTGGGCCTAATATGTTTTTTTATGATTACATTTTCAGAACACATGATACTAGTTTTTGAACTTTTTCTTTTTTTGTTGCTATTTATTTAATGTTAGCAGACTAAAAAGGTATGTACCAATATTGGGGGAAAAGCCAAAATAATTAAAAATTACATATTAAAAATTGATGGGCAATTTGGAATGATGATTACAGTAATAACTCAGTGAATTTACTGTTTGCCAGGTGCTTTTCTAAGCAGATCAGCTTGTGATTCTCATGATAGTTCTTTTCATCCTTAGTGTCTTTATTCTTCTGCTTCTTTACCCATCTGGAATCCTAACACCCTTATCTCCTCCCCATCCTTTCCCTTTGATAGTGTAAATCTTATCTCTCCTTCCATAACTAAGTAAAGTTCTAAATTCTTTAAGAAGCCTGTCTGCTATCTGAGTGCTTTTATCTTTCTTCCCTGAGTTTAACAATTAGAGGTCAGCACTTCCCAAATTACTTTGTGGTGTTTAATTCTTGCATTTTTGTTGGTCTGTATTTAAAGTTGACTCTAAACCCTTTGTTGACTGTGCTCCTGTCTTAATTTCTGTCTTATTCATTTCTGTCTTACATTGTCTTTTCCCATCGAGAGTCAATAATAGGGTAATGATCAGTGAATATCTTCACTGAAAGGCTATTTCTCATCTTAAGAAATATATTGACACAACCTAATTATTTTCTTTAAGATGGCTCAAGTTGATAATGTTAAAATTTCTGTAAGATTTGCTGCTTTTTCTTAGTTACATAATCAGTTTTTACCCAAATGTTAGTTGGATTTCCTTTGACACCCTGTTAACCTTTTGTCTCCCCTGGCTTGGCCTGTATTCTGCTCTCTGTGACTCCTATCGTCTTTGTGTATGAACGGCTTACAAAGGTTTTTGGGTGTCTGCAATCAGCCAGATTCTGCATGAGGAACAGGGGACTCAGGGAAATAGGACCCTCTTCTTATCCTCAGAGAAACCCCAGCATTTGGGACCCAAAACATGGCAACATCTGATCTGAGCTATGGCCTGAGAGAGGAGGGCATTCTCTAGGCAGGGATAATGGGGTCATGGCATCATGTTTAGGGCAGTGCTGTATCCATCCAGGATGGTTTTTTTTTGTTTTGTTTTGTTTTCTTTTAACCTTCTTAAAGTGCTTAATCTCAAACACAATTGTTCTCAACAGTTTTTGTATTGTGGGAACTATATTTCAATAAGATTATCTTTTGGAGATGGACTTTATTGTAAATAGTTTCTCAAAATATTTTTAATTGGATCATAAGCATGGGGAGAGAGTTTCTTAGCAGCTAAGAATTTCCCCACTATTTACTTCTTTCACTTACAGTGGTATTGCATAGAAGATTACAAAAATTTAAGGTTTCATTTGTGTCTGTTACCATTCTATTGTCTTTGCTTTCATCACCATCTCGGAGGTCCAGTGTCTAAAGGGCTGGCAGGGGAAAGTCCCTCTGGTCATTCAGCACTCTGACCCAGGGCTGAGCCCATCTGGTGTAGCGGTGTGTTAAGTCAAGTCTCCGTGCTCGTCCAGACCAAACACTGATATGGATTCAATCATAGAAGTTTCTATAAATCCTGTAAGTGAAAAGATATCCAGTTGTGTGCAGTAGCTTTTTAAAAGGTCACTCTAAGTACTCTACAGTATAGTATTAATTTAGAGCAGGAAATCCTATCTTGTGAACTGTATATAAAACGCTTATGGTACAATCATTTATCAAACTTTTGTCTGGTACATTGTATTTAGAGTGTGCATTCTTCTCATACCTAAGAATATCACTGTGAAATCTGCTGAAAACTCTTTTTAGAGATTTTTTTGCACAAGACTGAATTAGTTTGAAATTTTTGGAAGCTCCTATTTAATATGCCTAAACATCTGTAAATGGAATAATCTGCAATTAAAAGTAAACATTTCAGTATGATTTTTTCCAAAGGGAATCCGTGTTCTATGTTGTCAATGTATATATGTAGCTTTTTTTTTTTAACCTCTTCCACCTCTTACAGACTTAACTGTTTCATTTGTTTGGTTTTTGAAGGATTTTTTTGCTTTTTAATGATCTAGATGACCAAAACACTTTATTGGCTTTTACCCTTTTGCCTAAAGCTTTGATACCTTCACTTCACTTGATGTTTCATGAATTTACTGTTTAATTGCATTTTTTTTTTCGTACCAGGGGTCAAACTCAAGACTTTGCACTTGCTAAGCAGGTGCAGCGCCACTGAGCTAAATACCTGGCCTTTTTAATCTCTTGAGTGAAAAAAATAATCTATTGGCTTAAGGAAAAAGAATTGAAAACTAACTTTGGATATATTCCTAGCTATTATTTTGCATCATGGGCTTCATAGGAAGAACATGTTACATTTTTTTTGTCTTTGTTTAAAGACTACTGGCTACGAGTTACTCTGATTGTAGTAATGGTTATCAGCCCACTTTGATGTTCTTTAAAAAAATAAATTTACATTCACAATTCAAAACACCTGTCATTCAGAAAATTTTTGAAGGATTAAAAATATATGAAGGAAAAAAGTGGCCTGTGTAGGGAGAACTTTCTCAAAGAACTTTTAGTTGTATCCCCTGAAGAAATTTTAAAGTTTGTGATTAAGGTTTGTATGTTATCCCAACTTTATCAAGAATTGCTTTCTAACTGATTACAACATTTTTCAATGAATAATTTCAAAACAAATTGTTAATATAACTGCATAAAATGAACATAATTTTCTTCACCTGAATTTTTAATTGAGCAAGTTTATCAAAATAAATTGTCTACTAAAGAAACTAAAAAAAAACTATCTTTTGGTCTCACCTTAGAAAAACTTTAATTGTGATAAAATACACATGATCGAAAGAGATTATTCTAATGAGTTGTAAGTGCATCATTGTGTGGCCTTAAGTCCATTCATATCCATGTACTGCCACCACCACTGTCCCTTTCCAGAACTCCTCATCTTTCCAAACTGAAGCCAGCTGTATCTGTTAAACACTAGCTCTCCACTTCCTCCTACCTGAGCCTCTGAAAGCCACCGTTCTACTCTGTCTACTAGTTTAACAACTCTAGTGACTCATAGAAGTGAAACCATGCAGTACGTGTCGTCTTGTGACTGGCTTATTTCACTTAGCATTATGTCTTCAAGGTTCATCCATTGTGCGTCATGTAAGAATTTTACTCCTTTTTAAGGCTAAGTAATATTCTATTGCACCTATGGACCACATTTTGTTTATCCCTTCATCCCTCTTTAGACTGTTGGGTGGTTCCGCCTGTTGGCTGTTTCAAATAATGCTGTTGTAAACATGAATATATGATTGGAACTTTTGAAAAAGATTGTGCCCTCTTATATCTTAAACCTTCCATTCTCCATGTTCCTCACTTTCTAGTCCAACTAGATATTTGTGCTTACAAAATTGTTGTAGTTTAGAGTTTCTCAACATGTTATATTTATGCAAATAGGTGTTCCGGGAAATACTGCTGATTGGGTTGGAGAAATGCATGGGTGAGGGGCATTTAGACTTTTTTTTTCTTTTCATTCTTAGGCTTTGCAGTCACAGCACAGGTGGACGAGCACCAGCATCTCAGCCGGATCTTTATAAGTGATGTCCTCCCTGATGGCTTGGCATACGGGGGAGGTCTGTGTGGCGCTGTGTCTCTGTCCTCCTCTTAATCTCCCTGTGTGGAGTGCAGTATGGCTAGTGAAATTTTCTTTTTACAGTTTTGTCAGACAGTCCTGTGTGTGTGCTTCTCTGTGTGGCACTAGGGGTTGAACTCAGAGCCTTCATACTGAGCTATGGCCAGCTCTTTTGTTTTGTTTTGTTTTATGAGACAGGGTCCCACTAAGTTCTCTTTGCGAGACTCAAACTTGTGATCCTCCTGCCTCAGCGTCCCAGAGTGCTGGACTTACAGATGTGAACCACCACACCTGGCTAAATCTAGGGAGTTTTTAAAAAAGTAAATTTAAGAGTTTAATTGAAAACGCCTGTGTATGGAGAAAGTGTGTGTATCTGACAGACAGTCTACCTACACATTTATAGAGAGAGGGAGAGAATGTGAGAGACAGACAGACAAATGCAGACAAGTGTTATTTTCCAGGGCCTTTACATCAGAACACTAGAAGAACAATTAATGATTGGTTGCTCACACTGTTTCCTGCTCAATCTAATCCTTCTAATATTAGCATTGAGAGAGCTTGTAACTTTTTAAAGCTTCCTATGCACCATACATAGTGTTGAGTACACAACATGAATTATTTTGTTTTGACACTGGATCTCTTTGTAGTTCAGACTGTCCTTGAATTTGTGGGAATCTTCATGTCTCAGCCTCCTGAGTGCTGGAATTACAGACATGTACCACCGTGCCTGGCTTGTTTTGTTATCAGTGACCTCTAACTACACATGATGGTGTGTTCTTTGAGGAAAGTAACAAGGAAAGAGTACTGCCAAACAAATTGTTTGAGTCTGCAACCTTCTTTCATCCTAAAATTTCTGTCAGTAATCTTACATTTCTTTCTATTTCCTCTTCCTTGGTCTCAGGGTTGAGAAAGGGCAATGAAATTGTGACCTTAAATGGGGAAGCTGTGTCAGATCTTGACCTTAAGCAGATGGAGGCCCTGTTTTCTGAGAAAAGTGTTGGACTCACTCTCATTGCCTGGCCTCTGGACACAAAAGCAACCCTGTGTGCCTCCTGGTCAGACAGTGACCTGTTCTCCAGGGACCAGAAGGGTCTGCTGCCCTCCCCCAACCAGTCCCAACTGCTGGAGGAATTCCTGGACAACTTTAAAAAGAATCCAGCAAATGGTAAGGCTGAAAACTGTCTTCCTTCTTAACTGCTGGTATCAGTGACCCAAATTCTTAGGCTGTGATTTTGCTTGCAAACTCAGATCAGTTAACCTGCTCAAAGAAGGCACGCTAATTTATTAGGAGAAGAACGCAGAGGCCAGTGGGAGCACTAAATTGCATCAAGACTCTGTGCATTTATTTTATAATTATACTGACTTTGTGAAAATAGAAAATTATCATTCTTTAAAATAGCAGACTGTTTGCATAAATGCCAAAGTGGCAAGATTTTTCTTACTGGGGTGAATCGAAGGCAAGACCGTTTTGCGGTGACCGGTTGGCTCTCGGAGAAGCTGGTGCAGTTCAGTTCTTTGTCTTGTGTGTCAGGTCCCACTTTCCTCAAAAAGTAGTGAACTCAGAAAATAGCTCACAAATTTCAAAACTTTGTGTAGGCCTGAAACTGAAAAATTGTATTCCAGTGCATTTTTCTCAAGGTCAGATTTCAATATGAAGAAGTCATATGAAGGGTCGAGTTTCTGAGTTTGCCATTTATCCCTGTTTTGTAACTGTCAGTCTAGTAAATCCCAGGCTCTGGCTGATGCAAAGACCTGTGGTTTCCCTCTGTACCCTGGAGGATGCTGGTCACAGAGGCTCTTTACCCTGGGGGTGCTCAAAGTCTTTTGTATACCTTACTACAGTGATGATAGAGTCCAATGAGATCCACGGGATTATCAGAAATGAAAGCAAAACACGAAAGAGAAGTTGTTAGGATGAATTTAATTATAAAGGCAGTTTATTAGGTCATTTTTGGAATTAAAACATCAGATTGTAAGATTTGTGATTCAATAACGTATTTGGTGCTTTCTTCCTCTCTCTTGAGTCTTTCCTCCAATTTAAAATATAATTAAATTGACTATTGGCCTATAAAAATGGGTGTCATAAAAGAAAAATTGTGATGGAACTAATTAATTACTTAGTTATATTAGAGCCATCATTCAGCTACCCTGGGCTGCTGTTACAAGTCTGAGTATTCCATAGAATATATGCCCGTGACCATTTGCTGAATTCATTACTCTTGAGGGATGCATTCAGTTACCTGTGTTCTGTGTCAATGTATTTTATCATAATAAGAAAGCACTGCAGAATATATAGTACTTTTGAGAGTTTCATGAATGGATTCTTATGGACAGCAGCAAAAGGGACAGATTTGCCTTTTTTTTTAATAGTAAGAACGAAGCAGGTGAATTAAGCTTGTTTCTTTTTGCAAGGAAGTGATAAAGAGGCAGTCTTGGGTATGTCGGGCAGCTCTGCTGTTGCTCATCCCAGGTGGCTGCTGTGAGGGTCTGAGCCTTGGTAGCTTACTACCTGAGGACCAGATGTCTGTGTGTACAAAGAGCTTAGGTAGCGTCAGTGCTTGTCTACAGCTTTCTTGCTGCTGGTAGCCACCAGTTTAGGGCAGCACGCATGTGTATGCAGGCTTCTTCCCTGGATGGGGCGTCCCTACCAGCCAGGCAACAGCCCCTGGCCCCTTCCTTGTTGGGCTCCTGGCAACACTTCTGTGGGATGGCATTCTCCGACGCGCACCACCTACTGCCCCCATTTTGCTGCCCACCCCTTCTGCTGAGCTCCAGGACTGCTGCATAGTCATGTGCTTCTGTTGGAGACAAAGCAGCCACAGTGGAGTGCTTCTCTATGCACTTTACAAACATGGATTTTCTTTTTCTTCTGTGTGAGGGTCATAGCATGGCTTGTGAAGGAAGTTAGATCCCTATGCGTAAACATCTCACAAGGAGATCTGTTTTGAAGATTGGAGGGAAAATGAAATATGATGTGGGTGGGTGAGAAATTAAAGAAGAGACAAGACTGAGCCTTTTCATTTGTACGTTTTATGTCATTTACAAGAGTCACTTGGGTTGTGGCGGCCCTGAGAAGCAGCTTTGAAAGTAGCACACGGGCTCTAAATTAAACTTGGTTCCAGACTGGGGTTGTGCAGCCCTTGGTGGAGCCTTCAGCTCCACTATGTGAGCCTTGGAAGATGCTACTGGTTTTCCTTAACCCTTGTGAACACTGGTCTTCCTTAACCCTTGTGAACCCTGGAATTGAGTCCCAGTTGCACACCGCAGCCTTTTTTACAACTTCTTTGAGATTTCTGCTCATCTCTCTCACTGCCTGCTCTCCAGATCCCATTCCAAATAACTCCTGCACTAAGTTCTGAGCTCGTACACGGCTTTTGTGGGCACTCCATGAAGACCTTGGGCTTTGATTTCCTCTTCTAGAGAATGAGCTTCTCCCCTGCTTGGTGGGCTGCTGGGAAATGAGCGAGGTCATGCCCAAAGCACACCCCACCCAGTCCCTATTGGCAGGTATCTGAAACCTCAATTCTCCTCCCTCCTTTTTCTTTGCAATTTAATATTTGAGTGAATGGTTACTTTGATTTGCTTTTGCTATGAAATACAAAACATTAAAAAATTAAAATTTCCATAAATGAACATTTAAATTACTTTGTAAAACAGTGTTTAATATATACAGCTTTGAATTATGCCTACCAGTGGTCACTTAAGTCTGCCTCTTTTTTTTGTACCAAGAATCAAACTCAGGCCCTTGTACTTGTGAGGCAGGTGTGGCACCACTGAGCTAAATCCCAAGCCCTAGACTGCCTTTCTTTAAATTCCAATGACTAGAAGGTGGCTATGTATTTGAAAAGAAGGAAGCCTTTCTGACCTTTTTCAGAGAAGCTGGTTCTCTTCTTGTTCCTGGCTCTCACAAGAAGACCTGTTTTTTAAAAATAGAAGCTATAAGGGCTGGGGATTTGGCTCAGTGGTTCCACAGCCTGCCTCACAAGCGCTAGGACCCCAGTTCGATCCCTGGTACCAAGAAAAATAAAATAAAATGAAAAAATAGAAGCTGTAAGAACATTAGAAGGTGGAAGAAGAACAAAGCCTGAAGCATTTGTTTAGTGCATGTTTTGACCATCCCAGTGTAATATTTATTGACCACCCTTCCTGAGAGTGTTTAAGACGTGTGAGGCCCTGAGTTCCAGTCCCAGCACTGAAGAAGATAAAAAGCCATCTGTATTTCCCTAGCTGGGCATGGTAGCACACACCTATAAAGCCAGCACTCTGAGAGGCTGAGGATGATTCCAAGTTCATACCCAGCCTGCACAACATAGCAATTTAACAAGACCCTATTTCAAAATAAATAATTTAAGAAAGGGTCTAGGGATATAGCTTGGTGTAAAGGCCGTGAATTCAATCCCAAGTACCAACAGAACGGAAGGAGGGGGCGTGGTTTGAGGCCCTGAGAACAGGTTACAGTGAGCTCAAGGCTTTTGGTCTATATCGGGTTTTGGTCAGACATCCAGACATTTGTGTAGCTTAGCTTTAGTGTCTTGATTAGGATAGAGAAGAAAATAGATCTGTGTATCTTTGACTGAAAGAAGTGTTAGTCAACATGGCAGGTCCCAAAGGGGCACTGAAGTGGCTGTGGGTTGCTTGCTGTTCAGGCTCTGTTTTTCTAGAAAAGAAGTACCCTTCTGGTATTTGAGATTCCTTGGTCTGTGTAATGTTTAACAAAATGTATCTCAGACTTCACAGTGCAGGCCCAGAGCTTCACCTGGAGAGTTTAGGAAAATGTGACTGCCTGCATCCTGCTCTGCGAGCGCCCCCTTCAGGCGGTTCAGGGCAATGCACGCTCTGCCTCTCAGCCAGCCCAGATGGCTGACTTGTCACTGAGTGACCCTGGGTGGGCTCTGCCTGTTTACACTGCTCCCTCGCCACTGGTCGGCAAGATGGCAAGACGTGAGCCTGAACCTGAGCAACCTGTTCGCTGTTTCAGTTGCCCTGCTCTGCTGAGGTTTTGAGGATTGAAGGAGGTGAGTGTCAGGTTCTCACCACCACCATCCTTCCAAGTGCTCAGAGCATAGCCCCTCAGCCCCAGCTCAGGAGATTGCACCATGCAGCAGAGGAGCACGCTGAGAAGAGCTCCCAGGAGTCACCAGCCTCAGCCTCCAGCACCTGTGGTCTCGGGGAGCAGGACACGTGGAAACACACCTCGTTCAGTACCGAGTTCCTTTGCCTCCGGAGACATAAATGGCCATTTCATTTTTCCCTCTAAGAGTTGGATTTCTGTTCCGGTTATCCATACTAGGGAGAGGAAAGTCCATGGGCTATATTTGACTTGAGCGGAAATATTATCTGTGAAGACTTTTTATAGACAGAATTAATTTTACCACTGGAATTGCCCAGAGGCCGGTGTTATTTTAGAGCCAACAGGGCTACCATTGAAGGAATTGGCTGGACCAAAGCTGTTTATACTGGGATCCTATTAGTGCTGCCTTTGTGATTTATTTATGAAAATCCCTTTTCTGGTGTTTTCCATCTTTTGAATAGTTCCAGCAGCTTTTAGGAAAGTTTCCTTGGGCATAGAGTTCTTGAGCAAGTCTTTATGGTCACATTGGACTTCTTGTGGTATTGATGTGTTCTCCGGCTATAAACAGCCCGGTTAGGATGGGGGTTGACTTGACAGGAGACAAAATAGACCTGTGTTCCTGCTCTACCTAGGCAGTGTGAATCCTGCAGATGCTTACCACATGGTGAAAGCAACTGTGGCCTGAGGTTCTTTTTGAGCCCCCACCCCTTGAATCCCTGTCTCTTTAAATTGATGTCTGAGTGGTACAGAGCCTTAAGCGACCAGCAGCCATTTAGAGTTAAATTTGCTCTCTGGGATGAGTTGCTTGTGGAAATGTGGGTGTCCGTTGTTTAGCTTTTTACAGTGGAAAGAATTACAGAGCTGGCTTGATGTGGCGGACCCACTCACGTCCTGTTTATGAGAGCAAAGGCATTTTGGCTTCCATAGTTTGTTTAGGATGACTAATAGCATTTAGCTTGGAGAATGCTCTGTTTGTGTGTAAGACTACTGTCACTGAGTCTGTCTGGCAGATACCCCAGATTCCCAGTCGTAAAAACATACTAGTGTTCCTAAAGGGTGATGCACCTTTTTCTAAATAAAAATATTTTTTGGTA